TAATCTCATTAAAAAATTGAGGATAAGACACGTAGGTGTTCACCTCTGCATCTCTGATTGTCTGACTTGGGCAATCAGTTACACTTGTGGAAGCACTCTTTCAAGAAAATAACAGTAATTCCTTGGTTGCAATTTGTTTGCAATTTTTTCTGTTCAGTGTTACACCTGTTATATGCTGAGCATGCAAATGTATCACAAGCTGCTAGGTGAATACACTTACTGAACGTTAAACTGTTTATAACAGTTCTCTCTAAAAGGGATGCAATGGCACCTGGAAACAATATGCTCCTTTTTTTCCCCTTCCTTCCTTCCTTCTCTTTTTTTTCCCCTTCCTTCCTCCAGCTCCTTTGCAGACCCGTGTATCTGGATGCCAAGCGTTGTCCAGGGAAGTTGAGCTCACTCTCATGGCCCTTGTGTTGTATCATTTCAGCCTCCATCAGCATCTTTGAGGTGGTTTCCAGGGGGTTTGTCCCCAGGGTGCACATGGAAAGAGAGCAGCTCATCTTTGGCTTCCAGCTGTCACTGGTATTGCTTCGTGACATTGTGGGTCATGAAGCTGGAGAAGGGAAGACAATGACAGACGTGTTGTTGCTGATTCTTTTTTTTCTTTTTATTGGTCCTTTATTAACATGGGACAAAAAAATAGAATGCCTTTTAAGTAGTTAAATAATAAAAATCTTACCAAATCTTACTCAGTGTGGGGATTTCTGTGAGTCTGTGGGGTGAAATCATGCAGTGTGGTTCACATTGCTGCCCTCCTTCATTGGGCTGTGTGTAGCAGCAGCCTGTTAGTAATATGGTTTTGGTTTTTTTCCTGTAGTCCTGTAATCTGGCAGTGAGGAAGGCAAAACAGCATGGGGAGTGGGGAATGATTCTTGTGAAAGAAGAAGTTGGGGGAGTTTGCACTGGGAAAACACGGCCTGGCCAGCAGAGAACTTAAGTGGTTTTGTGAGCCCTTTCCACCTGCAAGCAGGGAGCACCACGCTGTCTTCTGGCTTTTTGGAGCTGCTTCCCACAGCCAGCCAGAAACCCTGCATGGCAACTGGGGAAGGAGCTTTGATCCTGTAAAGCACCCTGCTTTGGGTACAGGGTTTGGATGCTGTGTCTGCCTGGCTTTCCACATGGCTTTGTAACAGAGAGAACCTTTTGAGGAAACCATGACCTGAGGAACAGATTCTGGACCAAAAAAAGCCCAAACAACTCGATATTCTAATTCACTAAAGTATTTGCTTTTCAAAATAAATCATAAATGAAGCTGTGAGTTTCTCTAAGATACTCATTGCTGTCTCGAGGCTGAAAATCTCTGTGGTGTTTTCATGCTGTGTATGTGACTGTTTCAGGTAACTGCTTTCCTTCCCAGGGCAGAAGAGGGGGAAAGAAAGGAAAAAAAGGTCTGCAGGCACCCTGGCTTTTTTGGGTACCTGCTTGCTCTTCAGTGCTGAGGAGTAGAGGAGTCAGTGCCTGTGGTTCCTGAGGCAGGTAGGGCTGTCACTTGCAGCAGGGCTACACTTCAGTTAGCATAGCCCTTGAGCTTCAGATCACTGCTCTTTAGGTGCTGTTTACAGATGTCTCTGAAACTTTTTGTTGGAACTGTGGTTGAGACTTTGCAAGGTGAGCCTGCTGATCTCATACCAAAACTTCTGTTTCTGAATGCGTACGTTAAATATAAAAATGCTCACTGATAGCAATTCCTGATTTGCATCTGGTGTTGGGCAGATCAACTAACTAGACTTTGGTAAGATTTACTCATGCTGCTCTTGTTTGTTTTAATTCCTTTTTTGGTTGGAGGTAAAAGGGAAGGTGGCTCTAGGGTTAGCAGAGAAGGAACCATTCAGAGTAGCTGAACCTGTTACCACATTCACTTTCCTTTGCCATCGTGCTTACAATTGCAGTGGGTTGCAATAGAGTCAGAGGCATTTGCTTAAGAAGAATTGATGTTAACAGCTAGGCTGGGGTGTGCTTTGTTCCTCTTGGTAGCATTTCTGTCCTTAAAGTCAACTGTCTTCGGAATACCTCAGGTGAATGGTGTGACCTGAAGCTCTATAGTACTGCATCATGCTGTCCCAGGTTTGTCTTTCTGCCCTGCAGGGTAGATACAGATGTAAGCAGGTGTGATTGTCAGATTAAAAATGTATATACAAAATCAAAAACAACAATAAAAAAAATGGGATAAGTAGTCTAAAGGTGGTGACATAGCTTTTGTTTGGAAGTGCTTGGTTGTTGCCTGCGAGGTGTAATTGAAGGGATGAAGAAGGGACCAGTTGTATTCCGTATGTCCTGAAGTTGTTTCTCCGAGGGAACTGTGTCCAATAAGGAGCTGCTTTTTGCAGTTTCATGATAAAGACAAAGATCAGCTTTTCAGTGTGAGAATGGTGTTTAACCACAGGGATATCCAAACACGCTCAGCCAGAAAATTAGAGCGTTTATTGAAAGTATGATGAAACTATTTCAGGGGAGTGCTGTGGGAAACAGTCGTGTGAACTTAAAGGATAAAGGATTTTTTGACAGATGTTCCTTTTAATCCCCACGGCAGCATGTTCTGCATTTCCTCTCCTGCTCCCTCAGTGTGTGAGAGCTTTGCATCTCCCCTGCTGCAGAGCCAGGTACAGGTGGTGATTTCCTTTCAAGAGAAAAAGAGGGCAAAAGAGTGCACTGTGTGTTGGTTGCTAAATGCATTGTTAAGACCTTAAAGATTGTCTTCGGGTTGAGTCAAGCCATTTAATTAGACTCATTGATTTATATATCTTCAGGGTGCATTTGAACAGAACAGTTTCTAGGGCTGGAATTTGTATTTTCCTTAACTTCATGTTCAGTAGAAAGTTCTTTCAGTTCTGATTGCAAAAATGATATAGTGTACCTGTTTCTTTGGAAGCTCTACTGATTGAGTGACAGTAGTGCTTCCAGAGCTCTTTGTTTGAAGGCTGTGTCATGCTTGAAGACATTGTATAGTGAAGTGAACACTGGCACCTATTTTCAGCCTTTCCTTGGGAACTCCCTGCACACCTACCAGCAGTGTTATGGAAACTGAGACTGGAATTACTCATCTGTGCTGTTCAGTGGGCCATGGAGCAGCTCGCAGAGCCTCAGCACGCTTTGAGTTTTGGTTGCTGTGTGCCCTCCTTTCCTGCTTTCCATGGGAGTGAATCCTTATTTACTCATCTACTCGTTCATTACCGGAGGCAGCAGTTGCACAGGCAGCCTCCATGTGCCCTCCCTGCCAGCACTGCGCTGTGCGGTTAGCAGGCGACTCCAGGGATGCCCACAGAAAACAGCTCAGTAATGAAACAAATTTTATTTCAGCTGAATTACCTGCTCAGCACTGTGAAGCTTTCCCAGACAGCTTCGTGGTTGGAATGACAGATTTATTCAGCATGTTTTAACTCCAGCACGTCGCGCCAGATATGTGATCGCACTCCGGTCTTAATTCTGGTAACGTTCACTTGGGAGCCTGATGGTTTGATTTAATGTTGCTTCATCTGCTACCGGAGATTCCCGAAGCTGCTCTTCCAGTCACTGATTTGTTATATTCTAACTTTGCAGAAATTGCATTATTTTCAGTTCTGCAATGTCTTAATATTTAAGAGGGTGTAATTCATTTAAAAAAATCATCAATGTATTTTTAAGGATAGGCTTTTGTTCAGTGCTCTTTTTGTAAATTATGCTCTGCTGAATTAAAGAGGGAGAAGTCTTGTTCTCGAGACAATTTCTGCACCAGATGTGATGCAGAATCTGCTGAAGCTTGGGCTGCTCTGCTGGGGATGTGTCCCATATGTGAGTCAGGGTGATCCCTGCAGCTACAGGTGAGGAGGGTACCCTCAGGGAACCAGAAAGAGAGCACCAGAAGCTATATTGCTGTTTATGAGGGTGGATAGAGTTAGGACAAGGAGGAATGGTCTTAAACTGAGACAGAAGAGGTTTAGGTTGGAAATTAGGAGGAAGTTTTCCACACACAGGGTGGTGAGGCACTGGCACAGGTTACCCAAGGAGGCTGTGGATGCCCCATCCCTGCAGGCATTCAAGGCCAGGCTGGATGTGGCTCTGGGCAGCCTGGGCTGCTGGTTGGTGACCTGCACACAGCAGGGTTTGGAACTGGGTGAGCACTGTGCTCCTTTGCAACCCAGGCAATTCTGTGATTCTGTGCTTATTCTGCTCCTAGCAACTGGTTGAGTGGGAATGGCTGGAAGATAACCTGAAGCCCCTGCAGCAGGCACAGCAAGATTGTGTAGGCTGGGGAGAGCTGAGCTTTAGAGTGGATTTCTGAGTTGATTTTCTTCTGTGTCATCTTTTGTCTCAAATTTTGGAGCTGAAAGTGAGAGCACTGCTGTCCAGGAAGACTGAGGAAATGGAAGAGGATGCTTGCGGGCTCCTGGCTCCTTGAGAGAAGAGTCACTAAGCTGCGAGGCTTTCACCTGAAATGATTACTTGGCAATTCTGTCTTCTGTCCTGTGAGAATGAAGTGATACCTGTTTAGGGAGTCCATGTTTTCAAGTGATTCACTTTGAGGATGCTTTGTCACTTAACTGTCTGAACTTCTAAAGAAACAAGCTAGTAGGAACTGCTGGCAAAATTGGAACGAGGGGATTAGCTATTCTTTTGATGTGATACTGTTTGTAAGAATGCTTTAAAGGACTTAATGTATATGCCAACTGGTTTTACATATATTTTCTACATGGTAACTTTTAATGAGTTATGGAATCAGAGCAGATATGAACCAAACAGGTGTTTTGTGTCGTTGGAGTGACTTTTCCACGGTCTGGTAGGAGGTTTGTGCTTTGAGCAGTTATCTGTTCAGAGCTCTAAGATCTGTTAGGCTCCTGGATGGTGGAGAATCCATCTCTTGTCACTAACCTGAAAGCAAACATCCTGCTGTCCTCTAAAATATGGGGAAGCCTGACTCTCTTATCTGGAATTTGCGTACAAACCTGAGGACAGAGTAGGAGAGTGGGATGACTGTCTTTGTAAATACTTCTGTAAAATAAACTCTTCACTTTGTCTTGCAGGAACATCACTTGCAACGGGCTATCTCAGCACAACAAGTTTTCAGAGAAAAGAAAGAGAGCATGGTTATCCCAGTTCCTGAAGCAGAGAGCAATGTGAACTATTACAATCGTTTGTATAAAGGAGAATTTAAGCAACCAAAGCAGTTCATTCACATTCAACGTAAGTTTCTGAATGTTGGTTTTGTGGTTTTTTTTTCTTCCTTTAATTCAAATTAACTAATCTTCATACAAGCTCAGGGACCGTGTTGCTGCAATTTGAGTAACTGAGAGAACTCAGAAACCCGGGGGGATCTGTGTATGTAAATTCCAGTTTATCTTGTAAGTTTATGGGAGAATGTAAGGATGAAGGTGAGGTTTTTCCTACTGTATTTGTTTATGGGCTGTGTACTGATTTTATGTTGAAGTATGGTAACTGGCAAGCCTTGTCTTCTGTCAATCCAAAAATTGATTCAAAACTCTTTAATTCAGAAGTTCAGTATAAATGGAGATGAAATTGAAGAGGTTTTGAAAGGAAATCAGCCTTGATTCTACTGGTTGCAGCAAAGTTCTGGAAGGTTTATTTTCAGTTAGGCTAGTGGTGAGGCTTTTTGCTATAATATATGTTACTTTTTCACTGTTTGGGCGTAGCAGGAGTTCTTGTGTTTTCCTCTTATTTTGCTAAAGCTTTTTCCTTTCTGTAGGGAACTAGGTCTCAAAAGATCTAAAAGACCTAATTAATTAATCATAGTTGTCTCTGGGTGTTCAGTTGACAAGCGTTTATGTTTCAGTAGCTTAGTTGTTCCTTGGCAGGGAGTCATGTTTGTCCTTTGCAGCATGTCATTCCAGGGGGCAGTTTTGTGGCTTGGACTTCCCTCAGAGTTAATCTCTGTAGCACACCCTCAGATGCAGTTACTGCAGTGATTTATCACTCTGTGTGTTGAAGCACAAGTTGAGCGCCGAGTTTCTGCAGGGAGAACTTCTCTTATCACCAGTTCATGTCTTTGTTTCGTAGTTACATTGGAAAGACAGTTGACAGAGGTGTGCTGGAATATCTAGAAAAGGAAGTACACTCATCTTGCTTGCTCTGGGTTTTGTGCAGACACGCTGCTGGGAAGTGTTGATGAGCAGTTCATCACGTTTTTTAGCTGTCTCCAAGAAGAGGCTGCTATCTGTAAGGAGATTGGAGCAGAGAAAGCATTTTATGCTTGTCTGCCTTCTGCTGTTCTTACATATGCAACTGAGCTTGAAGTCAGGCAAAGATACTTAAGCCCAAACGTTGATGTCTACTGAGGATCCTTAGGTAATTTCTCACTAGCATGGTGAAGTCCTCTATTTGTCCTAACTGTTTACAAAATAAAAGGTTTCTGGAAATAACATGCTCAAGATCCTCCACGATACATTAGAGATAATGGTGGTAATGTAAGATGTGACTTAAAGGAGATGGATACTTCTCTTTTTTCAGTTGAAGAAACAAACCTGCAAGCAGGGCAGGTTGACTAAACTGAAACAAAGCTGCATTTTTTTTCTGGACGTTGCCAGAAATGCTGTTAATGCTGCTAACAAACAGGATTAAAAGTGTTAAATATATATAATGTCGCGTGCTTTGTCTTGTTAAGACTTGATCGTTCTGGAGACATAATAGAAGGTATTAGAGCTGAAAATAAAAATCAGATAATGCTTCAGGATAGTTTTCCAATGTAGCCTGGTTGCAGTAGGTGTGATACAAAGCTGCTTTATGCTTGGCTTGTGGTCACTGTTCAGCAGTTGTTCTAATGCTGAAAGCAAGAAGAGTAACAGTACGTGCTTTGGCAGTGGAAGCTACATAAACCATGAGGTGACAAGTGGCTGTGTGCTACATTCCGTGTTTGTAGTTATTACTAAGAAATTATGAATAACCTTTAATTTTGCAGCTCATCTTATAGATGAGGATGTTAATCTTTACTAGAATAATTCTTTTATGTGTACCACGAGTTCAAACTAGAGGAAAGTTTGTTTCTTGCTGACACACACAGACATACACAAAAAATACCCACTACCAACAATAGAAAAACAACCCAGAGGGGGGTCCTGCAGCTGAGACTATTGCATGTAAGTTGTTTTAAAACCTTTTTGTAAAAACAGTAATGATAACCATCTAATGCTTTATTGTAGGTAATGTAGCTGATCTTTTCAAATGCAGTTTTGAATACTCTTTGTTATGTTGTGTGAGGTGCAGCCTAGTTACTCTGTTAAAATAAAAAATTAAAATTAACAAAGTGTGTATTTCTCATAGTTTAGAGTTGCTTTTTTTAAAAACTAATTACACATTCCACATTTTGGGATGTAACATGTAAAGTGGGTATTTGCATGGTACTGCCTGCGGAGTTGTGTGTTGCAGGTGGGGAGCACTGGAAGCTCTGGTTCATTCCAGTGTTACAGACAGACCTGCTATTGAGGTGGTGGTTTGCTGGTTTGTTAACTGCTTTGGATATAATTACCATGATGTGGTTCTTCATTTGCATTTGGTCAGCACAGATGTGTTTGCTGCCAACAGGATCAGTGCTGCTCTTTGGTTCTTAATGCCAGCACCCTCCTTGAAGCAGCTGTGCTCTGGGGGAGCAACCCAGGAGCAGATCTGGCAGTAGGCTTATCTTCAGTTTGCTTTGGTTAGGTGGACTGTGGGTTTCTCGTTTCTCTGGCTTGGCTCAGCGTGTGGTTGCTGAGGTTGGTGCAAGGAATGTGAAAGAACTCATGGCTGCTGGGGAGGAAAGCTGGTGGAAGAGCTTGGTTTACTTGTAACTCACACCTAGGTCAGCTTAATGACTGCTGAACCACAGCCTTAATTTTCTTAAGTAAACTAAATAAGATAATTTAGCTACACTAAACCCTATTTTATGTAATCTAACTTCTAAACAAATTGCATTTCCATAGTTTAATATGATCTTAATATGTAGAGGAGCTAAAGTAAATAAAAGCCAATCCCTCTGTGAAAGTTTCTGTCATCAGGAGTGGTTGCAGTGGCAAAGGGTGTAAACTAGGATGGTAGTTTTGCAACAGCAATTAGCAAGCCAACAAGTTCTGAATGCTTATTTGAGGTGAGGCTTAGTGATAGGATTGTGGAGGCCCTTTTCTTCAGTGCAGCGTATAAACATGCGGTGTGGGGAGGGACAGATGCTTTGGAGTAGGAAAACAACATTCATTTCTCAGCCACAAGAATCTCTCAAGAGCTACCAGGAAAAAGGGCTGTAGAAAGTTGGCTTGCAACTATGAACTGTCACATTGGTTGGTTCTAAAATGCTAGCCACTAGCAGGGTGTCTGAAATACTATGTTTGCTGAGACTGAGGCTAGTTGTCCACAAGCTTCTGTAGGCATTAATGAGCAGCTGCATCTGTTGCTATGATAGGTGCAGAAATGCAGAGTGGTGAGTGACCACATTGGGCAGCTCACAACACCTGTGTACTAAGGGCAGCTCCAGGATGGAAACTGGCTTTTCCTGGAACCAGTGCAGTGTGCTCTGTGCTCAGAAAAAGCAAAAATGAGGAGTAAGGATGTCACTAAGTGTGTTTGAAAGAGCAGCAGTGGGCAAACTTCAGGGAGAGAGGGGGCTTCGGTGAGCATCCCAGAGCTGTAGCAAGCTAGCTGGGGGTTAATTAACTCCTTGTGATTGCATGTAGCAGCTGAAGAGTGATAATCATGCATTCTGTTGGAATGCAGTTGTTATTTCCATTGCCTCCGCATCATTAACCTGTGGCCTCCATGTAGCCTCCCTTTCGTTTCAGCTGAGCTGTGTTGGTAAGCACAGGTCATGATAATCAATGTGAGAAGCACTGCCTGATGAAGAAGAGTATTGGTAGAACGTATAAAAGGCAGTGTGTGTGGCACAGGCTGCTGCTGCTCTGACATTACCCGTATGCTTCTGTGGAGCAAGATGAGACTAGATTTATTCAGTGCTCCTGACAAGTGCATATTGGGTACCTTTTATCTTCTGTATCTTGTCATTTTGATTATGTCAAAATATTTTTGTGGAAATTATGGTGTAGAGCTTTGGTTTTGTGTTGGTTTTTTAATGATGATTATTTCCTGTTTTTCAGCGCTTAGTTTTTTTTAATCCATCAAGTCTCAGAAATGAGTACCGAGATTTTTATCAGCAAATTATTTGTGAAATTAGGTGGATTTGACATGTTATTTCACCAGTGGTTGCACAGCTGATGAGCCAGTGTAACAGCCAAAGGAGGAGGTTCTGATTTTCCTCCTTTTCCACTTCTGGTTGCTCCATGTGCCTCCAGCTGGTCCTGCTGCTTGCTGGATACACCTGCAAATGGGCTCAGCTCCCTCCCTCAGCAGAAAGCCACTCACATCTCCCCAGAGCTGAGCATGCCTGCCAAGTGATTGGGACATGCATGGCTCAGGGATTTCCAGCAACTCTTTCTTTTCTCAGTGTGAAAATGAGGGCAGGTTTACAAGCAGTGCTCCTGGCTTACAGATGAACAGCATCTCCTCTGTCACAATGCTCCCCATGTTCACTGATGCTCTGGTTTAAAAAAAAAAAAAAAAAAGTTACCATTTTGTTCACAAAGAATTATTGGCTTGTCTACTGACAGGTAATGGGCTGGGTGTTTTTGTGCCTTTGGGTAAACAAACAGTGCCTCTTTTGGGCTCTCATGGGTTTCTGGGCCTTCTGAGATCATCTGTGGAAACCTGCTTCAACACAGCTTGTGGAGCACAGACCTGCTGTAGTGCTTGAGAGAGCCCTCACAAAGCACAGACAGCCTCTCTGGAAACCTTGGGCCATCTCTCTTAAGTGGGGTTGCTTGAGTGTGATTTTTATACTGCACGTTAGGATTGAGTTTGTTTTGTAGGCTCAGGGGAACTTTGCAATTTCCTTTTTGGGGAAAGCAGCAAGTTGAGACCATCAAAGTCCAGAGTAGAGCGCAGTATGGGGCACTGATGGCGGGGGGAGCACCAGCTGCTAGGCAGGACTCTTGGAACTCAGTGAAGAGCAGCTGGGGATGGGTGCTGATGGTTATTTACTGGCTGTTTATTTACTGGCTGTTACCCTGCACACTGGAGCGATTTCCTTTCTTTTTTTTTTAATAAATACAGTCTTACAGAGCTGTGTATTTTAAATAATACTCTTAGTTTTTATCTCAACTTTAGCTTTCTGCAGCCATCACTGAAGCAGTGGGATGCAAGCAGTGCAAAGTGTTGAAGTGTCAATCTGATGTGCCGCTGTTGATTTTCTCTTTTGTTTTTTAGAAGAGCTGCTGTGGGTCTTATGCCCAGTAGAATCACAGAATGGGTTGGAAGGGACATCAAGGATCATGAATCTCCAACCCCCCTGCCACAGGCAGGACCACCAACCTCCCTATTTAATACTAGACCAGGACAAAATTGTGACACAATAACAGTGGAATGTGCCTTCGTACCATCTGCATGGCCACTTCACTGAATTAACACTACAAATAATCCAATTAAAACATAATTGTACTGCAGTAGTAGTAATATTATTTTCTTGGAATATATTTTTAGAGCATGTTTACAGTATGTGTTGAGCCAGAGAAGTCTTCTGATTAAGTGCTACTCAGAATTAGTACAGTGAAGGGAGGTAGCAGCTGACAGCTGAAAACAGTAAGGGATTGCTGCCTGGTACTTCTGACATGTTGTATCTGAGTGTGAGTGCCTCTTCAGCTTTTGTGCAAGGCTAAATAAATTGTTTTACATGCTGGCAGTGGTTAAGGCTAAGTTATTGCATGGGTGTAGAGAAGAAGCACTCTTAGGCTGCTCTGCTATGTGGAAGGAATGTGTTACTGCGTACTAGTCGACTGTACCATATGAAACAGAATGCTCTGACTTCCTTGAAGCTATTTTATAGCGTTATTCTCATGGTTCTGCTGTTAATTGCATCACCTCAAATTGCACCAGAGAGTTTGGGTGCAGAGTTCCTCAAAGCTGCTGCTGAGGTATAGCTGTGACTTAAGAAGAAAGAGAAAAGTTGGGACTTTGGTTTGTTGTCTAATACACGTAGAATGTATGGCCACAAAGCTTCAGTGCTGCTAATACAGTTATTTGTTGGTTGAATTATTTGGAGTGTTCTGGTTAATATTTCACCTGTCTGAGTTTGGATATGAAACTTTAGTTGCACCTAATAAGAATTATTGTTGTTCAGGATTTTCTCATGCTCTTTGTGAAATGTCCTGCTATGATAGCTGAACGATACTTGTGCTTTTCACAGGGCCAGAAACACTGCTTAACTGTGGAGAATGAATAGGGTGATCTGTAATAAAGATAGGAGCCTTGCTGTAAGGTCGAGAGCACACTGTAGAATACAGAAAGATTCGTGTTCTCATTTGTTAGAGTTTGGGAGTATGGTTAGGTTGCAGTTGGACTTGATAATCTTTAAGGTCTCTTCCAACCTGAGCAATTCTATGATTCTGTGTATTTAGAATTGAGTTGGTTTTGGAGAAAAAGCAACACCTGACTTCCCAGCAGAATTTATCTAGCATTCACCAAGGGCAGATCGTGCCCAACCAATCCGGTGGCCTTTTGTGCTGGAGCGATGGCATCAGTGGACCAAGGAAGGGCAAATAATATCATCTAACTGGACTTGTGCAAGGTTGTGGATATGGTCCTGTACCGTACTCTTAGCTCTAAATTGAAGAGAGATGAATTTGAAGGGTGGACTGTTCAGTGGGTAAAGAATGGGCTGGATGGCTGTAGCTGGAGGGTTGTTGTCCAGGTGGAAGCTGGTAACAAGTGATGTCCATCTTGGGCCCTGTGCTCTTCCATGTCTCTGTCAGTGACTTGGACTGTAAGGTTTGAGTGTACCCTCAGCAGTTTGCTGATGATACAGAGTTGAGTGGTGCAGTCAGTACAGTAGAAGGAAGAGGTGCCATTCAGAGAGACCAGGACAGGCTTGAAATATGGGCCTATGAGAACCTAAAGAGGTTCAATAAGGCCAAGTGTGGGGTGTTGCGCTTGGACTGGGGCAATTCTACGTATGAATACAGACTGGGAGATGAGCTCCTAGAGAGCAGCTCTACAGAGAAAGACTTTGGGGTCCTGACGGATGGAAAGTGGGGCACAAACCAGCAGTGTGTGCTCAGTCCGGAAGGCCAGCAGTATCCTGGGCTGCGTTAACAGAGGAGTTGCAGTGGGTTGAGGGAGGAGATTGTGCCCCCTCTACTCTGGCCTTATGAGGCTCCATCGAGAGTGCCGGGGTCCCCAGCACAAAAAGGATGCAGAGCTTTTGCAGTAGGTCCAGAAGAGGGCCACGAAGATGATCAGAGGGCTGAAGCACCTCTCCTGTGATGCAAAGTTGAGGGAGCTGGGCTTGTTTAACTTGCAGAACAGAAGGCTGTGGGAAGACCTCATTGTGACCTTCTAATACCTGGAAGGAGCTTACAGGCAGGAGGAGCACCGACTTTCTATACAGGTAGATAGCAATAGAATGTGGGGGAATGGATTGAAACTGAAAGAGGGGAGATTTAGGTTAGATGTTAGGGAAAAATTCTTCACTCAGAGGGTGGTGGGGTGCTGACACAGGCTGCCCAGAGAAGTTGTGGGTGCCTCATCCATGGAGGCACTCGAGGCCAGGCTGGCTGGGCTCCTGGGCAATCTAATCTAGTGGTTGGCAGTCCTGCCACGGCAGGGACTTGGAACTAGATGATATCTGAGATTCCCTTTAAACCCAAGCCATTCTATGATTTTACACAGCGTTGTATTTGAAACAAGTTTACTTTATGAAGTATTTTAGTAATGTTATTTAGTTGAGTTGCTTTAAAATGGGCAATGAATTGTATTGGAACTTGTATTGGAACTAAAAATTATCTTAATTGTTGAGCTTACTGTAGAAGAGTTGCATTGTAATATCACTAAGAAGCATTTTTGCTTTTATTTTGTGAAGAGACAGTAAAATTTGTATGCTCCTAGGATAGCTTTTGTAAGAAAATCTTTATTTTCTTTCTGCCTTTCAAACCACATTAAAAGAGAACGAGACTTGCCCTTATATAGAAAGACAAAGACGAGAAACTTCTAAATACTATTTTAATACTTCCATGTGGGCCCACTTGTAGCAAAAAGAGAGAAGTGTCATGGTGGAGATCTGCTAATTTGATTGATGATGTTTTTTATTTCTGACTATTGAATGCATGCTTCTGTATTCACTTGTTTTGTGCCTGTGTGTTTTTGTTTCAGCCTTTAATCTGGACAATGAACAGCCAGATTATGATATGGACTCTGAGGATGAAACCTTATTGAACAGACTAAATCGGAAGATGGAAATCAAGCCACTGCAGTTTGAAATAATGATTGACAGACTTGAAAAAGCCAGTTCTAGTCAGGTATTTTGCTATGTTAAGAAATGGCTAAAGTATTCTCACCTGTGAGTTTTCTGCTCAGTAGTTCTCATTCATTTTTCAGTTGTGCTGCTAACTGGAGAAGTATGCTTGTGTGACTGCAGGCATACAGAAATTGCACTGCTGTCACTTATTGTCACTGTTGGTAGCAGGAAAATAGGAGGAGGAGTGTGTGTGTGTGCGTGCAGTGGCAATGGGAGGAGATGGTTTCAAATTCTAATTCCCATCCATGATGTATTAGAAGAGGACAACTGAAAGAATCTGCTTTCCCCTTTGGCATGAAAGCAGCTGACAGTGGTTGGTAGGTGTACAGATCTGAGCATATCAGAATCCAAATCCTTTTTTTTTTTTTTTTTTTTTTTTGCTTGGCACTGTGGGCATTGCCTTCAGTTTGAAGGTTACAAGCACAGACAGTGAAGCAAAGCCTTTGCTGAGATTGGACCCTTGTGGTATAAAATGCAGTGATGTAAGAAAGGAAGCTATGCTCTAGGAGCAAGCATGAATTGCCAATTATTTTATCACAAGGAGGCTAATATATTTTAGTGAAGTTCTTGAGGTGTTCCAGGAGACCACTGTCTGGAGAAGCATCTTTAAAGCCAAAACATGACTCAAAAACTACATGAGAAGGACCAGGTTCTGATAGGTTAGCTTGAAACGATGTTATTTCTCAGCAAGATGGGCATTATGAAGGAGTGAAACATCTACTGCAGGATCTGTAGCTCTGCCACAGTTGCTTAACCTGATGTAGTTTGGTGTTACATTGTAAGAGGCAAGATCTTGTGTTCTCTGCCTCTTCTGGTGAGCTCAGTGAGGGCTGGGTAAGGAGATGTTACTACATGAAGAAAAAATCAAATACACTGAATGATGCTTGTGGAGTACCTGGCACTTGGGTCCTGTAGAGCTTTGCTGTTGATACCTCTGTCCTGGCTTTCAGTTAAAGCAGCTGGTTACACTTTCCGTGTTTTCTCCTTATGTTGCTTTTGTTATTGATTGCTTGAGTAATGAAGTTAAATTCAAGAACCGGAAGACTGGTTTGATTAACCAGGCTGATGTCTGTTCTCATTAGGACAGATGCAGGATTGCTGTAACGCTGCATGTTGTCATAAGCACAGGGGGTTAGGAACCTCCTTTTCCCTCACCCACCTCCATGAGCAGGTCCTTTTTTTTAGTTCTCTTTCTGCTATAGATTGGGTTTTGTTTTATTCTGACTGCAGCTACTTCCATAGAAGCAGTGGTTAGACTTAGGATGGCCTTCTTTTTCTTAAATGTATTGTTTCTTTTTCTGATGATCCTAACGTAGAGACAAGGTTTAACATAATTTGAAATGCTGCTTGCAAAACTGCAAGTTGAAATTCAAGTTTATTTTTGGTATTCTTCAAACTATGGTGAAGATGAAGTTGTGTCAGGCTTCTTTTAAGTAATAATAGAGATTATTTTCTTTATTTAATAAGTAGGTTTAAGATCTGAATGTGTTAAACTCGTATGTTAGTTACTCAGTGATGGCTTTTACATTTACTAGGTATGATTTCAGTATAGAATTAGAACACATGATAAGAATATAATTATTTAATTACCTGTGTTTTAACTACCTCCCACTGAAATGACTTGTGTAAGAAATAAGTGTCTGTGTATCCCTGGGTTGTGATAAATATGGAAGATCATTGTTCTTTTCTATCACAAAATAAAAATTATTTTGGGAAAAGATAATGGTGGCAATTTGCTTTAGAGCATATTTTGATTTCACTGAAGGGTTCTTTATTGTATACAACATCAAACTGCAAGCAGTCGGATGTTAGTAATGTCTCACCAGTAAGTGTTTTCCTCTTTATTTAGGGGAAAGAAAAAAAAAAGTCAGTGATTAGTCTTCAGATTATGATTTGATAGTAAGTCATTTAAGCCCTGTGCTTGTAATGATATCAGAAGTGATTATTTTCATGAAGAGTAGACGAAGTTGTAGACTTGTACAAAGGGTTCTGAGAGCTGATCGTGCTGATCCAGAAAAATCAGGGACTGTTTAAGTTAGGACAGTCTGTTTGGATTTAGGTGAGTATTCTTCTCCCTTGGGCTAGAAAAGGATCAAGTTTATTTAGGAAGTGTGCAAGGCATTTGAATGTGCGGTGACTTTCTCCTTGCTTTACCCCATCTCAAGCCCTTCACGTTTTCCTTTCAGCTCGTTACACTTCAGGAAGCTAAATTGCTGCTAAATGAGGATGACTACCTTATTAAGGCTGTATATGACTACTGGGTAAGAAAGCGTAAGAATTGCAGAGGGCCGTCCCTCATCCCCCAAATCAAACAGGAAAAGAGGGATGGCTCCACCAACAACGACCCTTATGTTGCCTTTCGGAGGAGGACTGAGAAGATGCAGACGAGAAAGGTAACTTGCCATTTTCAATCCTATATAGCTGGGAACCATTTTGATTTGATTTCTTTCTAGCAGATGGCAGAATCAGTGTGTAGCTATCTGCAGTTATTGATACAGTTGTTTGTCTGTATCAGTAGTTGCAACATTGGAGGACCCACCTCAGTTTCAAATCTGTTAGATGATGTAGTCAGTTTGTAACATGTTAATTTTCTGTGTCTATCTACAATGTGACAATTTCCTGGAAGGCTGGAAGTCCAAGAGTAATTTATAGGCTCACATGTTGCTTTGGTGAAAGAAGGGGAAACTCTTCCATTTACCATCTGGTAAACAATTCAGGTTTTGTATTTCTAGCATTATCAATGAGATCTGATACAGAATGCAGAATAATGACAAATGTATATGTAGATGCACGCAACCTTATCGTGTGCAGAAACAGGGTTAAAGAAAACCTTTGGGCACAAAGTCCTGAATTCCTTCTTCTGACGAGCTGCTTCTGGGCTGGGATGCAATCTGAGCAAGAGAAAACATGGGGAAAATGACTGAAGAGTTCCTTTTCAACTGAAAAGATTTTCTTTTGCTTTTTGTGCTGTCTATCCCAACTAGATTGGCCTTTTTGAGAAGTTCATCCTGATCTCATTGGCTCTCGCTCTGAGCAGTATTATGTAACTTTTTTTTTTGCTGGACTGGTGCCAGTTATACCCAATGGGTTTTGCTTTTGACATAAAATTTGCTTAATCTTTCAACAGAATCGAAAGAACGATGAAGCATCTTATGAGAAGATGCTGAAATTAAGAAGAGAGTTTAGCAGAGCCATAACAATTTTGGAGATGATTAAGAGGAGAGAGAAGACAAAACGCGAGTTGTTGCATTTAACGTTGGAAGTTGTAGAGAAAAGGTAAGCTTGCAAATGATGTCACTTAGAACTCTTAAGATTTCACTTTTCATTAAATAGGTTTGAAAACAGCTCCCGTGATTTATTCCTTTATGGATGCTTGTCTTCTGCACACATGGCTGAAGGCAAATATTGCTTATGTACACTTGAGAAGCTAAAACAGAAAGACAAAGAGGCTGCATGAAAACCTGTTCCTTGTCGCTCTGATGTTTGCCAGTGGAAATTCACTATTATATTTTAATTATTTTTTTAAAGATACCATTTGGGTGATTATGGAGGTGAAATTCTCAATGAAGTGAAGCTTAACAGACCTGAAAAGGATATGAGCACAACTGCATCCACTCTTCATAATGGAAATCATCACAAAGTTCAAGAATGTAAAATTAAGGTAATCTTCCTTCTGCTTCAAGTCTCCTGTTTCCTGTACCCTGCAGGTGTTTGCATTAGAAAACTGCCTAGCAGATTGATATGCTTGCTGTGTTTAACATTTAGCTTTTTTCTCCCCTAAGTTTTAAAAGAATTGGCCATCATCCACCAAACAACAGCTTTGTGTTAGCTTTCATTTTTCTTCTCACATTTTTTTTCCCCCTTCCATTATGAGGTGATGCGAGAGTACCAATGCTGTAAGTGTGTAAAGGGACAACACTGAGATGGCAAACAGTGAATTACTTTTTTTCCATTGACATGAGGATAGAGCACTGCATTTTTCCTGTAGTGTTGTCCATGAGTATTGGTTAGCCCTCAGTTCAAAGACAGTCGGATTGCTGATTTACAGCAAGAATGCTGGAGGATTCTAGGAGCTGTTGGGAAATGTTTAAGTGCAAAAAATGCTCATCTGTAAAGCTGGGGAGTTTGAATCCCTTTTGAAGTTTGTATTTAGCAGCTGCGACACCCAGTGGTCACTAAATGTGGTACAGATCCCTGCCTTCACTTCTCTGCTGGGAATTGCGCCTGCTGTTTCTCATCTCTGGTTTATGAAGCTGAACTGGAGTTAGTTTCAGTCAGACAGCTACTGACAAGTGGTAATTTGGGGGAAAATTAAAGAGCTTTTCAGAGAACTTCTCTGGCTTTTACTCATTAATTGAAAATTTTGGAAGGGAAAGTAATTTTTAATTGGAGAGCTTTGAAGTTGTAAAACATTTGTGTTCAAATAACAGTTTAATATTGCTGCAGTTGCTTACTTGCTTGCTGGAGAGGATTTATGTTAGCAAAATCTTAGAAATTAAATGAAAACATGGCAAAAGCTAGTAGCATGAAGTCTTACAAGAAACATAAGCCATGTGAGAGCTGGAAAACATAAAATGTTTTTTGTGAACAGATTTGAGCAATTAAGAAAGCTGTAGTTTCTCGGCATAGAAAACTGAGGCCTGAGGAAGTAATTGGAGCAGACTTTCCAATTGCAGTATCCTGAGGGTGATGAAAAGAAAGGAACCCCTTAATGTAGTCACATAGCATGAAAGCTTTCAGTTTACTGATAAGCTTCTATAAAGGTGATTGGAAGTAAAGTTTTGAGGTTTTCAGATGTTTAGAATAAATGCTATGTTGTATCTGAATTTTCAACATGCTGCACCAGTGGACAGAGGCTCCGGAAGAGGAGCAGCCATGTTTTTCTAAGGCATGGGGTGAAGAAACAACATCAAGTACGTGCTTTTATTTATTGGATCTCTTTCTGTTTTTGACAAACAGCATCCTCATCATTCATCTCTAAAGGAAGAGATATCAGATGTTGTACGTCAGAAGAAGAAATATCTGAAGAAACCGAAAATGGAGTGTGTGGTAACTGCTCAACAGCCCTCTGCTGAGCCCTTGCCTGTTATCAACAAGAGTGATATCAAGCAGTATGACTTCCACAGCTCAGATGAGGATGAGTTCCCACAGGTAACAGTCTGTTATGATTTCTTTTAGCCTACTGAAAATGGAGAACTCAGCTATCTGGAATGTGGACAGTATAGCTTGAAGTGGAGAATAACTGTGTTGGGCAGTTGGTCTGCATGCAAGACATTTGCAGAAGCTGCTTGAGTTTGTTTCATCTTGCAAACTGTGTTTTGGAGAACTTTGTATTATGTAAACCAGTATTTATAAAATATATGAAATGCTAACTAGTACAAAAATACATTTTTACCATATTAGTCAATTGATTACTGTATATTAGTTGTGTGTTTTAATATCTGTATTATATACACATGGCAGTTGAAAGAATAACTTTGCTTTTTGGCTTAGGTACCCTCACCAGTATCAGAAGCAGAAGAGGAAAATGATCCTGATGGACCTTGTGCCTTCAGGAGAAGAGCAGGATGCCAGTATTATGCTGTAAGGCTATCTGCTGTTGCATTTAGTGTGTTTGGGTGTTCTGTTTTTGGTTTCATTGGCCTATTGATAATGGAATAGTTCTTTTAGTCCCACTTTCATTATGAAAACCATGATGATTTGGTGGCTACGAAGAAAATCTTTGAGTTTTTCTATAAGAAGATTTCTCCTTGACCTGTTCCTCTGACTTCCTAAAGGCAATACAAAGCACGGCAGCCTAATTCAGCCACTGTTTGAATGGGAGGACTCCACCCCCTCCATGCATTCCCCTTGGTTTTCCTATCGCATCCTTTGTTCCCAGCTTATAAAGCTCATGGGTTGCTACTTGTTTTAGTTCTCAGACGTGGGCATTGTTTGGAGCTGGTTGTAAAAGCAAAGAGATTTGAGGATTTTTTTGTGTAGTTAAATCTTTCTCTTGAATTATTGCAAACTGTGGATATGTTGGAAGAATGTTACACTGCAGTTGTAGCAGTGAGCAGAGGAGAAAGTCTGATTAAACATTCCATCATCTTCTCAGAACCACGGATAGTGAAACTTCATACTGAGTATGGATTTGTGGATGGGAAGCTGTTATCTATGGAGGACCAACAGAAGCAATGTAATGCACTGGGTCTGGTTTTGCTTTGCTCACTTCCCACCAGAGAAGTGAAGTTGCATGGCAAAATAAGTTTTGTAACTGTGTAGTCTTTAAGGCTGCCTGTAACTCACTGGAGAGGAACTTAGTTGCTAGGTTGTCTGCTCCAGAAGCCTAAACAATCTCCCTGAGTACTCAGAGCATGGGCATCTCCCACAAGTTGTGCTGTAAGTTCTTTGCACAACTCAGATGTGTGCTGGCACCTGCTTCTGTTCCTGCCATGCAGGTGTCTTGCTATTGTGATCACGTAGAGAACACCACAGACTACTTTGTATTTTCAGGAATGTGCAAATGGGCTTTCCTTTATTCTTTGCAGCCTCGTTTGGACCAAACTAATTCTTCATATGAAAATTCAGAATTGGACAAACTGAGGTTCAGGCATTGCCTTACAACCCTTACAATTCCAAGAAGGTGTATAGGATTTGCAAGAAGACGAGTTGGCAGGGGTGGAAGGTAGGATTGCCTTATTTTTACCCTTTGTTTCCCTTCAAAGTATGAAAGCACATATATAAGAAACATAATTAACTTTTTTTTTTTTTTCCATCTTTTTAAATCAGGGTTATAATGGACCGAATATCCACAGAACATGATCCTGTCTTGAGACAGATTGACCCGGAAATGCTGAATAGTTTTTCAAGCTCTTCCCAGACTTTAGACTTTTCTTCTAATTTTTCACGGACCAATGCTTCCAATAAACATTGTGAAAACAGACTGTCCCTTTCTGAAATACTAAGCAATATCAGATCATGTCGACTGCAGTGTTTTCAGCCAAGGCTACTAAATCTACAGGACAGCGATAGTGAAGAATGTACCTCAAGGAAACCAGGGCAGACTGTGAATAATAAAAGAGTTTCTGCAGCATCTGTAGCTTTATTGAACACCAGCAAGAACGGCATATCAGGTAGGCAGAAGGATTTAAATTCTTACAGAACTTGAAATACAAAGTTATGGTGCTTTTTTTCTTGGAACTGGGCTGATACCACCTTAACTAATGATGTGTAGCTAAACCCAGTGATACAGGGGAACTGTGTTATATTTCTTAGGGCTTTTCTTAAGTTTTCTTCCTCCTGCTTTAATTGCATTTAGGTAGAATCATGGTAAAGTGCTGGCCTTAAACATGCCAGATGTGAAGGAGGGATTCTGTTTGTATGTCAGCATTGCCTACATGAAATTTATCGCATCTTGTTTAAGGAGTGAATAGTGCTCTTTATGAATGTAGAAGAGAAGCCATTGTTTTATTGAGGGTATCGGAGTGGGTGGGAAACAGGGAGATGTTTTTGGAGTTCTCTAAATCGTGCTAAACCATCTCCAGAAACCAGTAGTGAATCAGTAAAGTCTCGGAGCAGAAATGAAGAAGGCACAAAACACTGTTTTTACCTGGAGGCTTCCAGTGTTGCAGTTTTTACTGTAACAGTGATACACCTTGCTGTGCTGATTATCAGAAAATCGACAGGCACAGATGAAGAGTGATGGGGGCATTTCCTCCTCCTTTAAGGTTGATGTCTAACTCTCACACTTCATGCAGCTGTCTCTTACCATTCAGTTTTGTGACCTTACAGCTCCAGATGAGCAAGATGGCAATTCATGTATGCTTTAAGAAAATAAAAGTAGAATCTTCACAAGACTATCAAATATATGCAACGCTATTCTCATCTTTGTACACCCTTTGTCACTGATTTGGATACAGGATCACTTAACTTGGAATAAAAACAACCAGAAGCAAAAAATTGCTCTAAGTTTGTATTAGCAGACTCAAATACAACTAATACATGTAACAAGTGATTTATTTATAACAAGTGACAATGTTAAAACTGGCACTACTGAAAGAATGTATGATTCTTCAAAATGCTGGACGGTTGGAGATGTGCCAGAAGAGATCTCTTAGCAAGCACAACAAGCATTTGAGTGTTTTCCCACTCTGTTGTGTGCATGCAGAACTTGGTATTGTAAAAGAAGATAGCTGGGTGACACAACAGGCTGCTTCTAAATCCCATAATTAACATCATGTGGATGTGGAAGGTGCCCATCTCTTTTAAAGTCAGCTGCTGCATAGTCATTGCAACTTTTCTATTGTGAAGAGATTTGCACGAGGATTTTTTTTTCTGCTGTATGAAGAGAATAGACAGTGTGTCATGATCATATCTTGTGTAATTCTTGTTTGTAAAGAGCTTGAAAGACTGGAGAATTGCACCTGTAACAGAAAGGGGGCGGTTCTGTGTGGTGGGATTATTGATAAGAATTAAGAAAAGCAGTGTGAAAGCAAATGCAGACAACAGAAATGAATGCTGTTTGTCAGAGTTAAGCATGTGGAACATGGACAGTATGCTAGGATGGACCAGCAAAGAATTTGCTGGTAGCTCTTTGTATAACGATCAAGTCATACTGCAGGGTTTTTATTTGAATGGAAAAGTATGGTGACAGCAAGGTAAGGCTAGTTGCTTAAAAAGATACATGCAGAGTTGGTGTTTCTGTAGAATTTCTCCTGATAATGTAAGTATGAGTATATTATCTAAGGATGAGGTGCAAAACGTTGAGGCTTTAAATGCTGCTCTGCAGAGACTTTTTTCCTGAGGATGGAGCCCACTTACACTAGGAGAGTATTTTGAGTTAGAAGCTGATTTGTCTGAGTGAAAGAAAAAGGTTGGAGAGATTTGTGAAATATCCCTACTGTAGGTATGAATGAAAATTGGAGCAGTGAAGGGCTTGACAGGGAGGATCTTTCTGTTTTGGTAGGAAGCCATGCATGGGTGGGGGAAAAGGGTTGGCTCTTGTTGAGTGTTAACCAATTCAGTAGGACTAAAGCACTAAGATGTTGATGTTATGTGGTGAATCAATGAGAGCTCGTGCTTTTGGATTTGAGCTTCTGGAGCTTAAAAAAAGAAATAGACATTGTAGTAGTGATGGTAGAGACTGTAGAGAAGTACTTGTATAATGTGTGATGGTTCTAGGCTACTTTGTGGAGGAACGGTAATTTATTTTGTATAATCCTGATGATCTGTCTGAAGACTGTTCAGATGTGAGCAGAGATTACTCAGCAGTTGGAGTACACTGCACAGGGAAATGTTTGGGTTGGGAAGACTCTTTTGTTTCTGTATTCAGACTACAAAGCAGATCCTGTAGTTCTATGAAAGGATCGGGTGCAATAAAGCAACAAAATTGTTTACTGTGTAATTGAGCCAAGAAGAGGCACTGCTGTTTTGCATTTGCTACATAGTAAGTAATGGGAGAATTTTTGAAGGATGAGTCAAAAAGTGGTTGTGCATTAAATGGACATAGGTGCCATATTCACCAAGGCAGATCTTTTTGGGAAGTGGTTGTAGAGATGAATTTGATTACAGATTTACCTTTGAGCATAAAAGAATCTCTGGAAGAAAAAATGACAGTTAAACTGAATGATCAGTTTTGTTGTTCAGGTTCTTTTTTTTAGTTTGTAGAAGAGTTGGAGATGCTCGCTTTGGTTATTTGTATTTAAAGTTTATATTTTTACTTCTGTCTCGCTGAAACTATTGTTACACTATTTCCCCCATGCTAAGCATTGTGCAAACAGAAGCAAAGACTTAAGTGCATGACTGGTTTTGTCATAAAGGTGCCTAATCAGTGTGTGAATAAAGAACCTCTGTTCCAAGCTGAATTTTTCTCCTGCTTGTGCTCTAGTAAGGAGACAAGGTCCCTACAACAATCTTATCACTTTGATCAGTTGTGTAAACTTACATGCTGCACCTGGGAAGCAAACGTGGTCTCTTTGCCAAAGCCAGCTCTGGAAGGATTCTGTTTAACAAATGAGAGAAGCTGATGATGAGGATAAGCAGTGTATGAAGGAGGTTGCGAGGAACTTGTCGATGGTACAACTTACTTTGGCAAAGCAGTGCTTGGCTGGCTGGCTGAATTCCTAGACTGCAACTTGTCTTGCTTGTGGAACTGAAGTGAGAATTAGGCTGTAGGCAAAATCTTCAGCAATTTGCCAGAGCGCTCTGCGTCAGCTGCCAGTGCCTGGGAGCCACTCAGACAGCTGGCTGCTAAGTTACTGTGTCCATAGATACAGAAGACAACTGGAGATGATGGCATTCTGAGGTACAGAATTCTACATGTGGAGCAGGCGTTTACTTTTTAGAGGTATCCTGTTGAGAATAAAATATCACGTAGAAGTAATTAGATTAATGAGGTACTGTTCTGGTGGGGCAGCCTGAATGATGATCTTTGATTAAAGCTCCTAAGAGCAGTGACATCATAATCTGGGCCAAAGGTGTCTAGGGATGGAAAGCAAAAGACTCTCATGTAGACTTTTTGTAGTGTTTTGTAGTGTTTCAATGTAGGCAGACTGTGGTTAAAGGGAAATCCCGATATTTAGCAGTGCAAACTGAAATACTGGTCAATAGAAGTTTTAATGAAAAGTACAGAACTCTTGCACTTGGCCGTGACCTTAAAGGCTGCCTTGGAGTTTTGTAGAAGTTGGGTTTGTCTTTAGGAGCCTTCAGTTGTTTAATTTGGCAAAATGAAATGGTGGTAGATGTGCTAATGAGTGTCTGCTTTCTTCATAACGTTAACAGCAGAGTTTATTGTGACTGAGTAAATCCCTGCTGATAGGTACTGGCCTGGCTGGAGCTGACAAGTATGAATGCAGAAACAATTAGGATGCTGCTGTGCTGATCAGCCCTGTACCCTGCAGCTGTGTTCTGTGGCTTCCTGGCCTATGTCAAACTGGGAGGGGAGAGAGAGAGCGTGTAACGTGTAGGGCAGCCTTAAACTGTGTGGTGATCAGTTTGACTCAGCAACTTGGAGTCAAGATAAATGCCCCTGTACTGCAGACAGAAAATAGCTAATTAGGGGGTAAATGCATTTAAGGTGTTTATCTGCATGAAATTGGCTTGTTCTTGAACACAACAGAAGGCATTATGGAATTTGGTGCCTCAGAACTTAAAAATAGAATTGCATACATACGTAATGTTCCATAATGCTGTTCTTGGCTCTGTTGCCTTTAGTAACGAAACGCATTTTGGGAAGCTGTTGTGAGGAAGCTTAACAGGTTCAGCTGCCTGAACTTTGAGTTCAGAGCTTGTAGTAAGAGGGAAGAGTCTTTGAGGGGATCTAAGTATGGCTGATTGGGGAGGAAAGCTTGATATTTTATTTATTTTATTTATTTTACTTTATTTATTTATTAGAATATGTAGAAAATAATGATAAAATCCCAAGAATCTAATAGGGTGAATAATGTAAGTTCACTGAACCTTTTAAGTGTTCTTCCAGCCTGTTTGGTGCTCGTGTTAATGGTGAAGCACTAAAGAAGTAATTTCCCATGTAATTCCTCTACAGTCAGTCTGCATTTTGGCTCTTATTCAGAATTTCAGCACAAGGGTGAGTACTACAGCTAGGGAACAGAAGAGTCAGGCTCTGAAAGACAGCTCAATTCAATGTTACTGTTGTCTCACTGTCTCTCAGTGAGATGAATGATATCCGTGCAGCATCCAGGTGTTGGAGATGGATGACAACTTTGGTCTTCAAAGTATGTAGTTCAGAATGCTGAAATGTAGTTAATGGGAATCTTTGAAAAGTGAATTCTCTTTTTACTTGTTCCTGGGAGAACTTAGTTCCAGAGCTGCTTTGACTCCACAAAACTCAGGTTTAGCATTGAACACCTGCTGGTATTTTGACATTATCATATTTGCAGTTCTTGAGTTGGGGAGGAATGTTGAAAACTGCTTTTCTTGACTCCATCATTCCCATACGTACTTGTTGGGAGTGTGATACTACTGGGTTGTGTCAACCAAGTTCTCATGAGTGATCAAAGCCATTATGTTACTCAGCATCTCTTCTAAAAGGAAAAACAGATTGATAGAGAAACTCTTGTTCAGGTCAGCATTTACTTTCGGGGGAGAAAAGTGTGAAAGGTCATACTAAATGAATATAAACAGTGATTTGTGATACCTCGTGACATTTGTGACACAGAGATCAGCTTTGTTATTGTGTGTTTCTGAATCTTTCAAGAAAGGATTGGTGTAGGGCTGGATTCCAACTATGTATACATGTGACCCACTTACACTAGCAGCTGCAGAACACCTTTTTTCACTGCTGACATAAGTGTGCTCAAGTGTTAGGTGTAGGCTTCCTTTGCATAGTATGTTCTGGTGTCAGAAAAGAAGGCAGCGTTTATGCCCTGAAGGAGGGGAAGTTTTAAAGTAATGACCTGGAAGTGTTCACTGTGAGAGCAGACATCCAGCCAAGCCCAGTGCGCATCTTCCTCAGCTGTGATTTTTAGGGTGTTCTTTTCCTGATTTCCAGGAAAAAAAAAAAAGGAAAAAAAAAAAAACCAACAACTCTATAAGCTTTTGCTTAAAGGTATTGGAGAGAAAACTTCTATCCCAAGGACAGAAGTTGCTTAAAAATTGTGGAAGCTATGAATCGTTTTGTTATTAATTCAATCAATGTTAAAAGAACACAGCGAACAAATTTAGCCTGGCCTCTCTGTTGTGTAGCAATGTATGAAGATCTTTGCAAGCATCTGGCACAGTAGATGTTTTCACCCACTTGTTATCCAGCACTGGCCCATTCTTGCATCTGAGGTGTGGTTGTTCTGTGCAGGCCCATTTAACCCTGGCTTCCCTTTCTTTTTTTCTGTAGTAACAGGGGGTATCACAGAAGAACAGTTTCAGACACATCAACAGCAGTTAGTTCAAATGCAGAGGCAACAACTTGCCCAGCTTCAACAGAAACAACAATCTCAGCATTCCTCGCAACAGACACATCCAAAAGCACAGGTACTGTACCTGACATTGTCATATGTTCCTGTCTTCCTTTTTGCTTACTGTGATTTTTATCTCTGTTATAAGCTAAGCATCACAGAATCATAGAATGGCCTGGGTTGAAAAGGACCACAATGACCATCTAGTTCCAACCCCCTGCTATGTGCAGGGTTGCCAACCAGCAGCCCAGGCTGCCCAGAGCCACATCCAGCCTGGCCTTGAATGCCTCTGCAATCTGATAAATACATAAAGTTTTGGAATGAATGTAGAATGGGTTTTGGTCAAAATGCTTTCCCAGTTTGCTTGATAGTGCTCAGAAGATAATTTATGCTGTAGCTAGTGCACATACCTTTCATGTTTCTTCTGTCTTTGAATCAGCTAATGTTTTAAGTTTCAACACCCAAACCTCCAGCGTTTGCTTGGTGTGTGGTTTTATTTTCTTGTTTTAGTAATGCATCGTGGCTTTGTTTTAGAAGTTGAGTAAGAGACTTCATGTTATAATGCGTTAATTGTGTCCATGTAAAAATAGCCAGTGCCCTGTCAAGTGATATGAATTGTCATGGGATTTATCTTGGTGTGTGTCTGTGTGTGTAGAAGTGCTCCAGAGAGACTTCATAGTAAAACCACTTCGTGTAATAATGCATTGTTATGAACGGAAGTCAAGAGAGTACTAAAAACTCATCACTTCTAAGAGGAAAATGTTAGTTTCATGTATCTAACTTGATTTTTCCAGTCCCTCCACTTCCCCCAAGTTCTCCACACTTCTGAATTCTAAACATTCTTCATCTGTAATTCCTTGCAAGGGATGAACATTTGTTTTCTGTTGAGCTTAGTTATCTGATAAAGAAAATCTGAAAGCTGATGTCTAGGTATTTTTTAAGCATTTTGTATCTAGTTTCCAGTGCTGTTTACCTCTCCCATCTTTGGAAAGGACTTAATAAAAAAAAATATGCAGAATGGTAGAGTGATACACAATCACAGAATGGCTTGGGTTGGAAGGGACCTCAAGGATCATGAATCTCCAACCCCCCACCACAGGCAGGGCCACCAACCTCCACATTTCATAGCAGCCCAGGCTGCCCAGGGCCCCATCCAACCTGGCCTTGAACGCCTCCAGGGATGGACGGGGCATCACAGCCTCTCTGGGCAGCTGTTCCAGCACCTCACCACTCTCTCTGTAAAGAACTTCCCCTGACATCCAATCTGAATCTTCCCTCCTTTAGCTTAAAACCATTTCCCCTTGTCCTGCTGTTATCTACCCTTTAGAAGAGTTGACTCCCCTACTTTTTATAGGCTCCCTGTAGGTGCTGGAAGGCTGCAGTGAGGTCACTCAGCAGCCTTCTTTTCTCCAAGCTGAAGTATGAGAGTGTTTGTACATCCAAAATTCAGTAGGTGATTATGCTGTGGTATGAATTTCTCCATGGGAATGAATGTGCTGTGAATGCTGAGAGTTCTGTAGATTTAGGTTAGTGTGTATTTTCTATGCAGAGACAGAGGAGACAGCTTACAGCCATAGTAATCATCCTAGAGGAAACTTCTCAAACGCATTAACGAATGTAGTTCTTCACTTTGTACTTGGATGATTATAAAGAAATAAAAAATACTTTTTTATTCCCCCAGGGCTCCAGCACCTCTGACTGCATGTCAAAAACACTTGATTCAGCCAGTGCCCACTTTGCTGCATCTGCAGTGGTCAGTGCACCTGCTCCTGGTCGCAGTGAGGCAACGAAGGAACAAACCCCCAGCCACAACAACATTAATGGTGTTGTCCAGCCTTCAGGTGATGAATTCTTAAAACTCATGGTCTTGTGCAGAGCAGAGAACGTGCCAAATGATCCTGTTCCATCTCCAAAATTTCAGTATATTTTACTACTACTGAAGGTTATAAGTCTTACTGTTAGATATTTTTGTGCCATGTCATGCGCATCAGTTTGGTAATAAAAACTGTCAGTGCTCTTCAACCCATGGAAGAACATTCTTCATTTTCTCTTGTAGGCTTTTTCCTCTGTTAATCTTTCATAATCAAAGGGATAATTGATAGCATTTTATAAAGAGACTGAATTTGAAATTTAAGAAGGGTACCAATTGCTTAAAAAATCAAGTACTTGAAGAAGAATGCAGAAAATTTGCAGTGCTTTTCAATCATTATCTCACTTGCTTATTCAAACAAAACTGTGCTTATTAACTACTTCTAGTAACTCCTCTGATGTTACTGTAAGTTCCAGGTTTCATAACTCTTAAGATTCCTCCCATCTTCAGTCACAACATAAGTAGGCATTCACTGCCTTGCTCCCAGCCTCTGCTGCCCCCTGCCAGGGAGGTTCAGAAACAATGCCAATCATGTTGGTGCAGTTGCTATGATACTAAGAGAAATGGTGTTTGAAATTTGGCTGTCATAACTAGTAGAAGGCTTTTACAGTAATTTGTTGTTTTAACAGCTAAAGATGTGATTAGTTTTGTAGACCTTTTGCTAGGCTGGGTTAATGATGAAATAATTAATAAAAAATAAGGGGGGGGGAGGGAGAAACAGCTCAACACAGCTGAATAAAATCAATATACTGGAACTGATCCAGTGAAGAAAAAGGCAACTGTGTGTAACTTGCTGAATTCTGAGTGTAATGTTTTGAGGGATACAGGATCAGGCGTATGTGTGTACCATGTATCAGCAGTAGATTTAGAGTTGATGAAAAATACTGCAAATATGCGTATAAAATTAGGTCTGTGTTACTGTTCCAAAGCTGTAAATGTCAGTGATGTAAAATAGCCATTCCAGCTTCAGATAGGAAGATTTAAATTAGAACATATTAAGTAAAAACAGCTTTTTGCAGGAATAGGGAAAAATGTTCTTAGTTCTAATTTTCTTAAAACTATGTCAGTGAATAGGAAGAGGAATCCTGAGAGCCACTGGTTTGAGTATGTGCTGTGCTTGATTTTAGCTGGGACTTGAACCTAAAGTTTTCCCACCATTTGAGTACAGACAGCACTGCTCTGTAAGCTGGAAAGGGGTCCTGTACCCCTCACTCTCTTGCCTTGAGGGAGGCTGGTCCCCAGTACCTCGTGGTGTTGCCAGTCAGATGAGGGAGGAGGCAATTCAGAACATCAGAACTTGGCTTCTCGCTCATTCTCTGCAGTTGCCTGCCTAAGCTGTGCCCCATTGGATGTACTTTTATAGGAAATGTTGCACTTTAATTTAAGGCACCTAAATTGAGACGCATAAAGTTGGAAAATATAAAATGCAATCTGTTCCACCTTCTGATGTCTTTGTGAATTAAGCAAACAAAGAAAAGCACTTAAAATATCCCTAAGTTTGACTGGAAACATTTCTAAAACTTTTCATTTGTTTGAACCTTCAAAGCAGGTAACACAGGGATGATTCCAGTGCCTCATACACTTAAATCATTACTATTGATTTAATCTTTTGCCTTAAAATCTAAACGGCACGTTTTTAATTAATAACATCTGCTTTGCAACAGGAACCTCTAGAACGTTGTACTCCACCAACATGGCTTTATCATCCAGCCCAGGGATTTCAGCTGTACAGCTTGTAAGGACAGTTGGCCACACCACCACAAACCACTTAATTCCAGCGTTGTGCACGAGCAGCCCTCAAACACTTCCCATGAACAATTCTTGCCTGACTAACGCAGTGCACCTCAACAATGTCAGTGTTGTTTCTCCAGTCAATGTGCATATTAATACAAGGACTTCAGCACCATCGCCAACAGCCTTAAAACTTGCCACAGTTGCTGCCAGTATGGACAGAGTGCCAAAGGTAACTCCTAGCAGTGCCATCAGCAGTATAGCAAGGTAAGTGCAGGGCAAGTTAGAGCACAGATTCCAGTTAAATTTGGGCTGCCTGATTGACTCTGTAGATGTGCCCAACTCTGCATGAGAGCACGAAATAGAATCATTTCCCCCCCTCTAAGAGATCCGTTGGTGTGGTGTCAGCCTCACAAAAACATGCAGCTGCTGGCATCGTCAGTGTGACTGTGACAAAAGAGAAGAGCTGATGCAGTGCTGTCTTTCTGCAGATGAACACCCAGATAACTTCTGCCAGTTTGGGGCACACCGCTTTTGGTGATCTTCCATGGTGTTTAACTGGCTTCATTCTAACCATTTTTATTTGTCCCTTCTTATGCAGTATTTGCCAGTAGATTCTTCCAAACTCTCCACGTGTTCTCTCTGCAGGTCTGTGTGCCCATAATGTAAGATGCAGGCTGGCACATCTGTTTTATCCATACATGTGTGTACACACATCTTGAATTCAAAATAGAAAACAGGTATAAGCCAGCCTGTATCTTGCTATATATGCATTTATAATATAATTATTTACCAGTACTTAGTCAATATTGAAGTGTACCACAGGACTGGCAGTGGCTAGTAGTTGCATTTTTGAAAATGACAGTATTTGGGCTCTGTTTTAAAGGTCTCTGCTAGATTGTAAGATGCTTTGAAAGTGAAAAAGAAATACTTTTCCATAGGTTAAAAAGCAGAAAAAGAGCATTAGCTTTATCCAGTATGGATTACTTCATGACATTCCTAGGGATGTTAAAAAGAGCTTTTAAGATGGAGAATCACATGTATAATAGAGTCACTGTGCAGAGAGTGAAAAAGCTATTTTTAAGTTAGCAAGTGCTTTAAAGTATGCTCCTGTATCATTAGTGCCTTTGGGTCTTGCTTCCATTGAGTCAGAGGGGTGTTTCAAGTCAAGTCAGCATATGCCTGAAAAAGAACCATCTTAGCTGAACAGACCTAAGGCTCTTCTGCAGGGAATGGTAATAAATTCAGAAAGAAATTAGAATTTCTTGTGCTGGTGCTGAAACTGAACTGAAAAAAAAATAATTCACTAATGGAATAATTGGTAGTTATGCACGTCCTAATGGCATACCTTGACTCTGTTCCTTCGGGAGACTTCTTCTTATTATCCATAATTTGGGCTGGTAATTTATAGTTAAATGCACTGAAGTTGGGCCATCTCTGTTAATAATCTTGTGGAAGGAACTGCAGTGTTAATGGAGTCAGAGCAATTGTTAAATGCCAGTATTTAGTTTTAAATGGTCTGTTTCTGTCTAGTGCATGTGTTAAGGTTTGTCCTTGATCCAACTAATGGCTGTGTAATAGTACAGAGCCTGTAAGAAATCACTGAAATTGCATAAGGAAATATTTGTATTCTGTCTGTAATTATGGAATGCTTCTTTTGTTGCAGAGAGAACCATGAACCAGAACGGCTGGGTTTAAATGGCATAGCAGAGACAACAGTAGCAATGGAAGTGACATAACCTCAAATCAGTGTCTCAACCTGTGCTAACGGTGTAGTCATTTATATTCCAACTGAATGCAAAACACAGCACTCTGTGGATCACAGAGAACTAAAATGGACCTAAATGGACTATCCTTATATCGTGTATTAAGTCGATATATAATGTAAATTTTGTAAAATTGGGAAAATCACTACCTTGTAAAATAGTTTATTTGTATCATCAATATTATTTCTGTTACTTGAATAGTAGATATTCATCATCATGCTTTTGCACTTGAATTTGCAACTGAATGGATTAAAAAATAATTCTTTAATGGGATCATGAGCATGAAATGGGATCCTGCATCACTTGTTTTAACTATTTATTTTGCCATGTTTACATTTTGTATCTTGTACAAATAAATCCAACTTTGTGTCTAAAAAAAAAAGTTAAAGATTCATAGCTAGGAGACAAAATTCTTGTAATTTTTTTCTAAAGGAAATGTAAAGTTTTCACTTGGTTCATTTTGTTTCACAATTTGACTAGATGGACTTTTTGGTAAATACTTTAGTGGCATTTCACTGTCAAATACGAAGTTCAAGGCAAAATAGTATTTTCTATTACTGTGCAGGGGAAAGGGATGGATCGATACATGCAAATTTAATGTAGTAACTCACTTTTCCATATATTTTGAATGTATATTTCTATTTATAATACCAGTTTATAAAAAATAATTACACAGGAAAGAAAAAAAAACCTGACTAGGAAAATTATGCATCTAGCACATGTAAAATTGTGCAGATAAGAGAAAATTTTCAACCAATTACATTTTATCCGAAGACTGCATATTTTAACCGGCTTTAAAACTGTAACACACCACGTAAAGGATATTTTACCAGGTATGTATTGCATTATATATCATTGCAATAATTATTGGATGTCTAGATATCGAGCCATCCCAGGTGGTGGGGGGGGAGGGAGGGTTGTGGCAAGATCGTCTTTTCAATTTTGGAGAGTTTTCCTGTGGCTACAAGGCAAGTAACGGGTTGGAAAAAGTCTGACTGTAAGCGTTGGACACCTTCGTAGTGTAGTGTTTTAGTGACTTTTTTTATACGGTTCTTGTAAATTAGATACGTGTAGTGGTGTTTCAGAATGTTTGTTTATGCACTAGTTCAGACAACTTTCCCTGTTACTTGTTCTTGATAAGTGAAAACTGCAGGGAAATAAAAATACATATCAAAACATGGACACGTTGCATATGTGTTTATTTCACATCGTGCAAGCAGTGCAGGTGGGAATTTCAGACAACATCAGTGGTCTTTTGATGGTGACTTGGGTTGCAGTGCTTGTATTTAATTCTGCGGAAGGTTTTGGTGTGTGTGGTTATTTCTTTTTCTTGAAGTGTGTGGTAGGGAAGGATCATCCTCCAGTTGGAACCTGAGACTTGGAAATAATCAGGGTAATGAGCAGCGTCTTGTTCTGCCAAAGGAACCTTAGAGGGTGGTGAGGCACTGGCACAGGTTGCCCAGGGAGGCTGTGGATGCCGCATCCCTGCAGGCATTCAAGGCCAGGCTGGATGTGGCTCTGGGCAGCCTGGGCTGGTGGCTGGCGACCTGCACACAGCAGGGGGTTGGAACTGGGTGAGCACTGTGCTCCTTTGCAACCCAGGCCATGCTGTGATTCTATGAACTGCCACCCTTGTCAAGGCTGACGTAGGTTTAGACACGTGCTCTTTCCCAAGGGCTGTTGTTGGTTGGACTGTAGTTAATACTCTAGTTTAGCATTTTGCTTTCTTGAGAGCATCTAAAAGAAAGACATGTGCATCTCTTTAAAAAAAGAAAGTATGATTTTTGCTATCTGCTATACAGTCAGTATATTCTTCCTGTTAAATGTTTGTACGAAGAGCTGCTTTTAATCTATGTTGTGCTTAAACATGTTTTATCTTAGCTTCTGACAGTTAACAATTCTGACAGCTACACACTTGCAGAGCTGTAAATATGGGGAGTTTGTCAGAAATTTGGATGTCTATTATTACTTTTCTTTTTTGCTTAACTGAGGCTTTATTTTCTCCTCGCTATCAAGTCCAGAGAGAGAGAGAACATCAGAATGTATCCATGGGAATACATGGAGGATCTCCTGATGCTTCAGTGTTCCTGCCTTGATGAGGCAAGGCATGATGGCAGGTTTGGGGTCCTCAGCACAAGGGGAGGCACTCATTCTTTGCTCCTTCTGCATTGTGCCTTTATTGGAACTTCCACTTTCTGATACATTGCCCATTACGTGTATGTGAGCCTTTCCTGATATGTGCCTAAGGTTTTCTGTGGAACACCATTCACTTCTGGGAATGACTGCATGATTATGTAGTTTGAAGTAAGAAATTTTTTGGAAGCCAGAAATATTGCAAATGGGAGCGATACCAAAAAAGAACTGCATTCTCTAATTTAGCCCCAAAGCTTTTTTGTGCTTAAATACAAATAGGAAGTAATGTCTTCTGCAGATTGAAAGCTGCATTCTTAGCAAGTGAGCGCTCCTGAGCTCTGTAGTTTGTGCTCATCCCACTGCAAATGTAGATCATTTCCATGGTACATTAGACTAAAAATCTCCTTACAGTTGCCGTGTATCTGTGACTTCACATAGCCTAACCCTCATCTAATTACTGCAAAAAGCCTTTTGCTGGCACTTGTAACTTTTAACAGATGCTGGAAGAATGAGATGGAGAAAGCTCTAAAGGTGAGTGTGCCATGTGTTGAATAACTTCCATTTAAAGTATTAGCATTGATGTGGCTTTACAATAACATAGAACTCCTAACAGTCCTTGTAAGAATTTCTAGGCTTTAACTGTGGGCCTGAAGTGCCAAAAAAGAATGATGGGCAGTGCTATATTCTGTAGAAATGTTGTTCAGGTAAGATTATTTCTATCTGTAACAATTTGTATTGGACTTCGAGTGTGACATGCTGTATCTTCCTGTGGGAGTCAGATACTACAGAAAACAATGATTCTGTATTTAGATTTGTTTAATGCTTTTAATCTGTAGATGAACTATTGAATTCTGATATGTGCTGAACTGTAGGCATTGTGATTTTGAATATTCACCATTTGAAGCCAAACAGTGATTGTTCTAACGGGGATAGGAAAATGTGCTCAGGTGGAGTCAAACTAGATTTCAGACTGTTAGTATTTGGCTTCAGTGCTCGATGTTTAAAGCTGAGAGCCTCCAGAGGTCCTGTTTTGTCTCCTGAGCCTTGCAGTTGCTGGCAAACCTGGTGAGAGAACTGTTCCAAGCCAACTCCAGGGCAATCTAGAGGTTTGCTGCTGCTTTTTCCATTCCTTCCTGCTGGACCATAGAAGATCTCACACTGTGAGAGTGTTAGAAATCTGCGAAGTTATTACCCAACTTTGTTTCTAATTTTGCTGTAGTACTTTACCTCCTCTCTCCAAACATCACCGAACCAATATGCTGTTCTATTTACAGAACTATCTCATTCCTTTAATCCTGGATAAGACTATATGTGCAGGTTGGCTTTTTTCCCCAGCAAACAAGATGCTTATTGCAATGCTTTGCTGTTGTGCTGAGGCTCTGGTTTTGAGACTTCTTTCCATGCTAGTCCATTTCCCTCTACTTCTGACTCCAGTGTAGGGGATAATAGAAACGTTTCCTATTTCTTTTTTATGGTTATTGTTTTTAAATCAGAATCCTCAGATGGTGCAGCCCTGTGGGGTTGGTTGGTTCATCCTGCAGTGGACTCAGTACCGTGTTCACAACCATTCAGGCTCTTAGTTTTCAGTACCTTCCAGGAAGAACTGCTCAGGATATAGTTGGAATAAAGTGTCCTGGTAGAAATTCACACCTTCAAACAAGAATGCTCTCAAGGCTGCAGCAAACAAACTTTGTACAGGCTACTCATGTCAACAGACTTCAGATGAAGAGTCTCAAATCTCAGATCTCTATTTTTTTTCTTTTTTTCTGTTTTTAGGTTTCACTATATTCAGACTTAAAGAGATGGAGAATTACCTTCATGAATTAAACGACATCGTAGTGAATTGTTACTCAGAAGAGAAGGTGGGAAGAAATTGAAAGAGATCTCCGAACAGTTAGAGGAAATGTTTCCTGTGTAGCAGCAGACCAGGTAGTAAGAGTTGGGTTAGCTCTTAAGATCCAAATGTTTACATTTGAACAAGGGCATGTAGAGGAGAATTGATTTTCTTCTGGTGCAACTGTTAGCAACATTCAGTATGGGCAAATTCAGTCCGTGAGCCAAAGCCAACCTGCATCAGTTTAGCAGTGGAGCTCCACCATGGAACCACTCGTACCTGGGAAGCTCACTAAAGCAGACAGCTGATTGAAGGGGTTCTTGGGCAAAGGACTGGGTGCTTCAGGGTAGGGCAGCATTACCTGAAGCCGTAGCCCACAGGATGGTAGCAGATGGTAGGGGCAAAGGACAGCTGGGCTGCAGTGTGGGGAGCACATCCCTGGTGGCTGCTGTGCATCCCAGCACATCGTGGTGTTACTGCATTACCAGGGCTTTCCACTCTGTTGCTTTTTAACAGAGCTTATGCTACAGGCACCCAGTTGTACTGCTGCTAGTGAACTTTGACTACCTAACAGCTATTTGTGAACTGCTGTAAGTGCATGTAATGGCAGCATTTCTCTCCAAAGTCAGTGTAACGTGAGAATAGCGTATGTATGAAATGGGAATGGATTGGGGTAGATATTCTGCAAGGCTTTACTTACATGGCCAGAAGGTGATTGTAAAGATGTAATTCTGAGATAAATGAAATCAGTGTTGTATTCTATTTGGTAAAGTCCTTTGGCTGAGAATGTGATAAGTCCAAAAAAGGCTGCAGTACTGAAGCTACTCTGTTGTTCTAAGCATGTAGCTTGAATTAGCTTGTGCCTTATCCTCCTGCCAGGGAATACAGAGCCTTCTTAGAGGAGTGGATGTGAAACATGGATGAAGAGACATAACTGCCCAAAAATATCCTGTGCAGAAAATGGAGAGCTGTTTTGAGCCTTATCTGTGGCAGAATAGCTTTTCCCCTGCACCCGGTAGGCTGCTTGGTTTCTGAAGATAGGATTGTTTCTGTGACTAAGAACAGGAAAATCTGTTTAGTCCAATCTTGTTTCAGTCCATTACACACTGATTTAACTCTAATACAAATGTAATTACACAGGGAGGATAAAGTAGAAAGATCAATTAGAGAGTAAGGAGTAAATGAAGGAAGGAGGCAATTAAGACTACAGCAGATAAGAGGAAAATGGGAGCAGAACAGATAGATCAGCCTAAATACTTTGTCTGACTGGAGTACACAGCCACCTGCTGCCACTCCCTTAGAGTTCTGACAAATAAAAGATTGATTGCAGCATTGTAACTCTCGTTCTGACAAGGTCTTACCTATTCAGGAATGCATGTGGGAAAAATAATAAACTAATACTGTTCCAACTAGTGGAAATCTAGTAACAACAGCAAAAAGAAGTCAGAGGGGCAACAGTCGACTGACCAAGGCTGGGCAAGGCTAATAGTCACACATTCAAAACCTCAGCAGCAATTCAGACTTGATGCTGATGGAGATGCTGATGGTAAGTCTGGCAGCAAGGCCCTGCTTCAGCAGCCCCATATGCCCTGCCTTTCCCCTGAGGGACAGGCTGGTGGCAGTGAGCTGTGAGCTGATGGCAGCCTAGTGCTGGCTTTCCCACCATCGCTGTGAACGCTTCACTGACTGTTCCTGAATTAATGTTATTTCATTGAACTTTGCCCTGGGGATAACATGATGCTAAAGCTAACAGCACCCCCCCCATCCTCCTGATGATGATCTGGCTAGACTAGTCACTGTGGTTTTAAATCAACAGCTTTGTAAATGACACCAGAAGATGGCATCATCTGCCTGTAGTGCTGTTTAACTCTTTCTGGACTTTCATGCATCAAAGTGTTGGTTTGACAAAGGAAGATAAATTTTGTTTTTCCAAGTTACAGTCCTTTTATTTTGGCTATGTCAGTAACACGGGAAGATGGTAACTTGGGAAGATATCTGAGTAACAAAATGCTTTTGCTGTTTTATGCAAAGTGATAAAAATCAATTCTTTTCTGAAGCAAAACCATTTTTACAGATGGGTGAGCACAAAAGAGGCAACTGCATAATGTGAATAATTTATTTGAAGACTGAGATTTATCTCTCTGTGTTAAGGAGACGCATAAATGCTTTAAAGTAAGTATATCTTGAAGTGTTTGGTGGCTGGGAAGCCGTGGCT